GTGATATGGGAAAGGACATGATCTTACATAAAAGTATCGCCTGCTTTGTGACCCAGGGACACTTGTGGTAGTGTGATCTGATGATTACGTACTGAGACCATGTGCCACACTATCCGGGTTCGAGTCTCGCTGGGGGTGTTGATGAGACCTAGGCGTGGAAAAAACAGGTGTTCGTTCCTGATGAGAATACCTTCTGGTAGGCAAGACTATGTTCTAATTAATGTAAACTCGAGGCCTACTCATATCATCGAGAAAACAAAAGCACTTTGACTTCCTCACCACCTGATGCGACCTCTGGTGGACACAGCTCCTAACCAGCTGATGATAATGATCATCAAGTTTCCTCACTACGAATTCTATACAACTATTATTCAAGTAAAATTATATTTGACAGTTTTACTCTATTTTTATCCTTGAATCTTCCTTGACATCTATATGATGACATTATACAATATAAGCCTCTGGGTAAAAGTTGTTATGTCATTGTTTTCCCAACTTGGTCATATTGGTAGAAAAATTTAGAAGAACGCATCTAGTCTGAAGTCCATTGTATGCATGATAATTTCCAAAGTCGGACCGTGAACACGGTATATTCCCAGATGTTTCGCCTTTTTTGCAGGCTAATCCGACCCGAATGAACAGCTACATGGGTCACTTATAAGTTCTACAAAATCAAGAAGCGATTATGGATCATAAACCGTTGGCTAGGTATTTGGATGCCAAAATTGCTATTTGGTAACACGGAAGGAGAAGTCTATACAAATTTATCAGTCTAGCGATAATAAAATACATTTAGAAGTCCGTTATGTCTTCAGGATATCCTTTTCTTGTTCCAATATCTCCAGCAAGGCGCTTACCGCCTTCTAATATGAGATGTTTGTGTACATGGATTGTACATCGAAGCTCACCAACAGTTCCGTCTTCATCAGCCCAATGTTTTAGATCCTTTAAAAAATGCATATGAATTCCTAACGGTATTCGAGTCTGTCATTACTTTCTTGAGCTTATATCAAATTAATTTCGCTAGTTTGTATATTGCTCCATGCTTGTTGTTGATTCTTAATCTTAGCGGATTTCCTTTCTTGTGTATCTTCGGTAGTCCGTAGGCCGTCGGTGGTCTTGTGTCATTTTTGATTAAAGATTTCATCATCCATCTATCATTTTCCTTATTAGTATGCATTTTCTTTTCCACATTGGTTCTTAACCTTTTTCTAGTCGCGGCGCCCTTTTTCAGTTCACATTTTACCATGGCGCCCTACCCTAAGTGTGACTATTTGTAAGTAAGAGATAAAAATAAATAAAACTTATCTTCATTATTTTTTTACTTTATTAACATTAAATTAATATTTAATAATTAATGTGATGGATGAGCCTGCGAATCACTGCACATTTTCTCAAATAGTGGAATTAAACTGGACACAGACACCCTCATTTCCTTTTCCACGTTGATTTTTGCTCTAGACTTGCTTTTTCTTACAGCGACCGCCGAAAACCCAGCTTCGCACAAATAGGACTTCGAAAATGTAATTTGAATAGGCTGAGCCTTATCACTTAGAAGGGTATATTCAACTTTTATCGAAATCCATCATTCGGTCAATTCCATGCTGCTAAATTTTGCTTTTAGGTTATTTCGCGGCGCCCCCGTAAATAGGCCGCGACACAAAGTTTGGAAATCACTGCTTTAGCATATTCTTTAGTGTCCCGTTGATATTCATGGTTGGATTCTTCCTTAGTATTTGATAAGTGTTCCGGTCGCCTAGGTTACTTTCTATTTTCTCCGTGTACTGTTTCCTGTCCATTTAAATCGTCGCTCCTTCCTTATCCGCATGAAGAACTATTTGATCATTCTTTTGAAATTTTTTCCGTATACCGGTTAATCTGCTCATGTGTATCGGTTCTTGTTGTGCCAGGATCCGTGGGATAATTTCCATTTCCATCCCGCTTTGTCTCTTCTGCATATTTATCCGATATGTTGACAACTTCCACCAGAATATCACGAAGAACATTTTCTTCGTTACATAGGGAAAAGTTTAACTTATTCTTTAAGAGATCCATAGTTTCAGAATCAATAAGGATTGAAGATAGGTTTGTCACCTCAGCCCTATCGTCGTCTTCAGCTGTTGATGCCTTCAATAGAGAACCATCAAGATTGGCCCGGGTTGGCTTAGTCTTGCGTTGTTTTATTATCCCACTGCTAAGCAATTTATTGTCATGCTGCTTATTTATCGGATCCCGGACCCTCTGGGACTTCTGGTCCGTCATGCCCTGGAGTTTTTGAAAATCATCCAAAGTGCGAACCCTACCTAGATCCTTCCTTAATATGGACTTGATATCTATGACCTTAACTAGGTTACGTTTCTCTGACTCTTAACTTTCCTCTAATTTCTGAATGGAGGGGGGTTGATAAAGTATTTCATTAGCTGTGCTCGATTTTAGGAAAAGAAATCGCAGGGAGACCAAAAATGAACATTCAGAAGCAAAGAGTAGACGTCTTCAGTTAACCTAATCAAAGCCAGTAGAACCACAACATGTGTGGGCTGGCACAAAAGAGACTAGGACATATGAAGTGGTAGACTTGGTATTATAGATAGAAGCAGGATAGACGCGGCGTAGACTAGAGCTATTTGACTAAAAATTGAGGTGTTTGATCATAGACGTGATCTATGAAGCACGTTTATTTATGGTCAACTAGCTCTAGTCTCTACTGCATCTATCCTATTTCTATTCGTAATACCAAGACTATAACTTCTTATGCCCTAGTCTCTTATGTGCTAACCCAAAAATGTTGTGGTTCAACATTGAACCTAATCAAGGTGAGCAGTACCACAACATTTGTTGGTTGGCACACAAGAGACTAGGGAATAGCGAGTCATAGACTTGGTATGACGGATAGAAACAGGATAGTAGCGGCTATCCTAGAGCTAGTTGGCCTGTTTTGCCATAGACGTGGTGCATGTAGCAAAACTCTGACTATGGGCTTTGGCCTCTAATTAGTCACCTAAACGCAGGGGATGGGTAATAATGCCTTGAATAGCACAGATGGGGTGGCAGAAGTCGAGTGAAATACTTGAACCAGGGAGATAGCAGACGAATCCTACCGGACAACTGGGAGACTCTGATAAGACCTAGGAAAGGAGGTCTGCGTAACATTATGGCAGACTGATCAACATTCCTAGCATAAGGGTGAAGGAGGGTGCGAAAGCCGGCGTGAAATGTAAAAGATTCTTACGAAAGCCGCTCAAAATGGCACACCACATTAGATTTAAATAAGCAAGTAAAAATTTGTGATAGTGTACGCTTGATACGAGGATATAGGATAGTTGAATAGCCCAGGATAGGAGAGATACCACTATTGTTTAACACACATTTGGTCAAAGTATCGGCTTCACTTGTCGCTTTTTCAAGTTATTGTATGGTTCTAAGAATAGCAATACTCACTGACGATGTCGGCGAAATGTCTAGGAATGTACCACGTCAACGGTCTGACTGGAAATTATCATGAATACAATAGACTCCGGACTAGGTGTGTTCCTCTAAGTCTTCTACCAATATGACCAAATTGCGAAAACAAGCTCAAACTTCTTCTATACAACGAAAGGGTACTGCGACCAAACAAAAGGCCACACCATTTTGGCCTTCACATCTTCGATCCCCCGGATAACTTATTATTTTTTCAAAGAGACAAAGTTCCTGATCTTTTGATCATATTGTGGGAATCGCTCTACTTGTGGCGATAGCATCAAAAGTGCTTGCATTGTTACTATTCGTATTGTCCGTTAATCATCTCATTTCGCTCCCGAAGCAGGCAAGTCTGGGCGGCAAGTTTCCATTTAGATTCTATTCAAGCATCTTTTTTCTTTAGTGTCAATCATTCTTCTAACTTGGATGGATCCGCTTCTTTACTTTCAATATTTTTCATCAAACTTTCACGTATAATTCAATTTCTTTTGTTAGAGGGACCTTCATTTCGTATGAAAGTGCATGAAC